TGTCATGCTGGCTATCTAATGTAGTGGAGGCCTTGTAAGGAAATTAGTCTCTATTCACTGACCTTCAGTGTGCAACTAGAATTGTCACGTTCTTTTGATCTGAAATTGATATACACATAGTGTTATGTGTATATCAATGTTATGTTTGTATAGAGGTTAATATTTGTTGTCCAAAAAGTAGAAAAAACCCAGTGCACAGCAATGCTTCTCTTCTGGGTGCCAGCTGGTGCAGAGCAAAACAAAGTAAACCACGCAACAAAAATATATTCTAGCGCACACCAGGATAGGATTGACAGTATTTTATTACACTGAAAACAAAACAAAAAGGAGCGAACTTCGCTCTGTGATATTATCGTTATCTCTTAATATTTGTGGAATAAAACCATAGTTTTGAAAATGATTCATAACACTGCAGTGTTCTTAGGACTTTAATGCTATTAATAATTTCACGTAAGTACACCTACATTGACTGTTTTGAGATGCACATGTGAGATGGTGGAAGAGGTGGGTTTACGGCATGTGAAAGCAGCAGCAGCACATTTATATTTCTGACACTAATTCGCTACGACATGTTTACTAGTAGGTTAACGTAAATTGTTGACTGTTTTCTTTCAGAGGAATATGGCTCTGTGGCATCCACTCCAGACTCAACGCCTCCCTGCACCGATGGTAATGAAGCAGACACGTGACACTTTGTCCATCCACTGAGAAATTCTCTCACACAGCACTTGAGAGATTCCTTGCTTCCTTCAAAGCCTTTCTTTTGAACTTAACATTAGAAGAATACATCTGAACACCTCTCTCACCTCTAAAACACTAGCACTGAAGATCCACATATAAACACAGGAGTACATTTTGATCACAGACACATTTTGGCAGAGAGATGTTTACGCATTTATCAAAGAGGGTTTCATTCACATTAGATGTCACACCTTGTTCTCCCTGGCATCAAATGACACACCTGGCTGCTTTCATCTGACATATCTATTCATTAAAAGCCAATTCACTCTCCTTATATGTCACTGAACGAATACACACTCTTAGCAGCAGCAATAAACTGCTAAGTGTTGTAAATTGCTCAGAGTGTGTATTGTTTGTCTTCTCTTTCTCTGTCTAGTGTCTGTGTTTCTCCCGGTTGGGATGACCACATTTCTTTGTTTTTGTCTGTGTTCAGGCGGAAATGAGGAGTCGGAGATGTGCGAG